ATGATATTTCTTCTAGTTTGCTGTTATCATACTTTTGCTCCGTTAGGTTGAATGAATAAGGTTAGTATTTTAATCAATATATTTCTATGCATACTAGCCTTATGCCTTTTATCAACCATTTACTGAGGAGAAATATAAGCTATATCAACTCAAATGACCTTAATTAAACTATAGAGTGCATCACCTGGTTTTGCATAAAAAGGCCTTAACTTTAAATTATGAAGAAACGTCAAAGTTGAATTTAAACTGAAATATGCTTCAGCGAACCTTTTTTTCTCTTGACATTAAAATAGATCTTACGAACAATCTCATTACTGAACTAATAAGGGTAAATGCAAAGATGGAGCCAAGATAGTACACCTTCAAAAAAATCATCTTACATTGTGCCGGTGTCTGCTTTTATATTCTTCAAGATGTCAAAGGCTGGAATTATGCGGTACCATTACACGAATATACAATTACGAAACTTCCTATAATATGATATGACATCGCCCCATGACCCACCCGCCTTCAACGCAGTGTGTTATCATACAATTTAATCGTTGAAGTCAACGTTTCATTCAGCTTTACATCCCGACTAGAACGTGACTACCTTGTACGCGGAAAATTTGGATATAATGAATGAAGTTGGGGCTGTCCATCCGTCGTACATTGCTAATTGTGTTCTGAACGCTATCACAGCTTACACCGCTATCGTGTTGAACGTAATCACAATTCACGCGATGAGAAAAACATCATCGTTGCCAAGTCTGTTAAAAGTACTTCTTCTAAGTCTTGCGGTGTCCGATCTTGGGGTTGGTTTAGTGGTGCAACCGTTCTACATCGCATGGCTGGTAAAACGTATACAACAGAATAGTGCTTCAACAGTGAGTAATCCTAGTTACACAATGGACACCGCGTTTTTAACCATCATGAATCTCTTTTCCTGCGCTTCGTTCTTCAGCGTTTTAGCCTTGAGTGTAGACAGATTTCTGGCTATCCATCTTCACCTCAGATATCGAGAATTTGTCACGTACAAGCGTGTTGTTTTTGCGGTAGTCTCAATATGGGTGTTCAGCGCATTTTTTTCGTCAATTAAGTTATGGACGCCAGCGAGTATTACCAAGTCTTTAACGGTTGTTGTCGCCCTTCTCTTCGGTCTTTGTTTTATTTGTACAACAGTTATTTATTACAGGATTTATTTAACCGTGCGACGCCACAGACATCACATTCAATCGGTACACGAAGAACTGGTAGCTACTCAGAATGACGAAATATCCCTGGAAATATCTGGGGAAATATCTGGGGAAATATCAACCAATGTCGTGACCGTCAGGAAATCTGCGCTTGGTACCTTCTACGTATATCTCGTATTTATGCTCTGTTACATGCCAGGGTATTGTATGATGATCGCCCGAATGATCGCCTCTGAAGCAAATATCGCCATGAAGGGGTTTGACCCATATGCTTGGACACTAGTGTTTGTCAATTCATCTTTAAACCCTGTTATTTACTGTTGGAAGATGAGGCACATTCGACACGCTATAATGGACATGCTTCGAAATATCCTGGCTAATCGAAATTAAGGAAACCCGAGTTTTGGTGAATTAGTGACGAGCATTTATAACAAGAAACAGATGGCATGTTCTATATGGTATCGTTTTCAATTTTTTTTACTCATATTGTTATTCAGCTATACTCGGTAGGGAAGGAATGTTAAAACTGCACGAAACGAGTAATTAAATTGGAAATCAGTCGAAAACTGAGGTTAGTTGGATAATCATAGATACAAATGTCGAGTAATGTGTTTAGTGATGCCACACATTTTGTCTAATCGCTATAAAAATTGATAACATAAGTTTGGAAACTTCTATAGTGCTAAACTACCTAAAATCTTTTTAAGTTAAGGTAGTCAGTTAAGGTATCAGAATAGTTTCGTGATAGCATATGTGATTTTCAGGCAGTCGTAATGGAACTGAATTGAATTTTAGCTGGGAACATCTCGTTGAAACCTTCAAATCTATCTTTATTAGCTTAATGAGAGTAGTTTTGTTAAATTTGCTTCCAATCCAAGTGCCAGAAAGTGTCGCTGAAACTCAGTTTTGATGTTTCTTGAACATATCTTAATTTCAAGTAGTTTATGAACCAGGGGATTACATATGTAACTTGAGGTGACGTTGTTTATAGCTTGTGTGCGGCCGAACATTTAGTCGTTTGAGTTAAATTTCCTCAGATCTCTTTCTAGAAAATAGCCAATAATAGCACGTAACGGTAGCATGGGTAAGTGGAACTAAAAAATATAAATTATATAAATGCTGGCGAAAGAAAAAGATATCATCGTAAATGCTAATGATGGATAAGTTCATTAGGTGATAAATGAAAAATATCTTACAATATTAACGCATAAAAAACCATTTAAAATCATATATACTAAGTCAAGCATTAACCCTTTAACCCCAGAGAATATTAATTGGCACCCAGTGCTGTTAATTGGTCAGTGTTTGGCTAGCTTATTTTTCAGTTTGTAAATAAAATTGTACTTTCCCCAATATAGCATGGTTATAATGTAACACCCCCATATGGCATGGTTGACGTTGTCCTGCCAGCAGTTGGTTTCTCCCACGCCGAACGTTCGGCTTAGGAAGAAGCCAACTGATTAAAAGGTAGGTTGAGGTAAACCACTAAACGGATGAGGGTTCGATCATCCGATAAGCAATATTATAGCTCAGGGGTTTACCAGATGACAAACCTTTTCAAGATTTCTCCGACTACATTCAGTTTTAAATTTATTTCTACCAAAGCTACAGCTCCTTTAATTTTACGCACTACACTGGGCCAAAACCTTTTTTTTAAAAGTGATTTTATCATAGATGGACAGCTGCTTTATTACCTTTAACTTTGACAATAATCGTGCTTAAATAAAATTATCTTATCTTATGATTAAGATGGCGGATGTAAATTTTAATTTGCATGCCAATTTGGCACGGCATTTGCTTGGTTCTTTAAGTAAAATAGAAATAAAAAATAGCTAAGATAATAAATAATAATAATAATAAAAAACTCGAAAAGACTCGAACTGATTGTTCTCAAAGAAGTAAAGGAATCTTTGAAAGTAAAGCTGTTTAGTGGTCAAGTTTCATTACGCCACGATTTTGTGATGTCATCGGAATCGGAAGAGGAAACCAGACATACAATAACCGACCTCCGCCTTTTGATAATATGATTGATTTGAAATGAAATACAACCCCTCCGGAAATACAATTTGTCGCTTGGAACTTTGCATTAGGTTCTTGATGTTTACTATAACTGATAAAATAAAGTCAGCAAGCGGGCGATTTCTAAAAGTACGTGCAGAATTTAAACGTAAAGCTACGCCACGTTTCTGTAACAGCCTCACACAGATGTGACTGATTCTCGTGCCAGAGAAGCCGATCCCTCCCAGCCGACGGGGCCTAAGCACAAGTAAAAGGTGGTTCAAGAGACACATGATTTTTCTGGATAGATTCTTGGACGAAGATTCCCACTGATTCAGCGCTTGTTGTCCTTCCCGAAAATATGCACTAACTGATGTCTTATACTAAACCGTTCATTTACCTGCCAACTTTAACAGACTTTTTATCTAGGGAGTTTAAAACATGTTCTGGCTGGAAATGGCATTGATATGCTACGTTTTGTAGGGCTTCATTGAATATTCTCTACATAAGCCACCTTTAAACTTAAGCAGCGTCCACACTACGCCGGAGAAATCTGAAAACGCAGCTTTTATTTGTACGGTAAGGCCTACCGTCCACACCAATCCGTCACGAAAAAGGAATTTTTCTAAAAACGCTTTTTAAACCGGAGGAGTTTGAAAACGCCGATTTTTCGTTTTCGTGTGGACTTTGAAAACGGAGCTTTTCGAAAACGATGACATCGCGGTAATCGTGTGATTTCTCTGTCCGAGTTATCCTCAAACACAAATCCAAAATGACCGCTGATTGTTGCGTTTTTAAAGTCATCCGGGGTAGTGTGGACGGGAAACATTTGATGCGTTTTCAGAGTGAAACCTCCGTTTCAAATTTCTCTGTAGTAGTGTGGAAGAGGCCTTACTTTATGTCTGTATGGTGCTGTAAGATTATCAAGTTGATATACTTGAGAAGGAAACCAGCCAAGAATTAGCTAGAATCCAGCCAATCAAATCACGTGTCTCCAGAGCCACTATTTTCCAGTGCAATGCGCCAGCGGGTAAGAGGTAAAAGGCGACTCCTGGGGACTAGAATGGATGTCCATCTGAAAATGAGGTAGCTAATTTGAATCTAAAGTTATCCACAGGACGGTGTTAAATGCTAACAGATTGGACTTCAAATAATCAATAACCTTTGTAAAGCGTTCATATGCTGTATTGACGATAGCCGCTATATTTATTCTTACATTTCAATCGAATTAGGCTCGTGATTTAAATTCTTTTTTGTCATTTCTGATATAATCGTGCCCAAACTTCACTCTGTTTGACACTTGGCCGTGGGAGATTTGGGCTCGAGACATTCGGAGAATTAGAAGAATAGATATTTCGATGTTGAGTGAGAGGTTTTAAACGCAAAAAGCTCCGCTGATAGGCTACAGTATACAGCACGGGAAAAGTCACTTGAATAGGATTAAATTCTCACTGAATTAAGCCAAATATGTATGTCTGATGACAGCGATCGACGCCAAAACAAAGC